TTGTTGTGACCCACACAGTCAAAAGCCTTTGCATAGTCAATGAAGAACAGATAGACATTCTTCTGGTATTCTTTGCTTTCTGCCAAGATCCATCTAACATTAGATATAATATCCCTAGTACCACGACCTCTTCCAAATCCAGCCTGCACATCTGGCAGTTCTCTGTTGACATATTGCTCCAAACATTTTTTGGATAATTTTCAGCAGAATCTTGCTTGTATATGATATTGTTCAATAATTTCCACACTCTGTTGGGTCACCTCTCTTAGGAAAATAATAAATTTTCTTTTTTAACTATATAAAAATATTCTATTTGAACATATCTTTGGAGAACTAAGATTTACCTTCCTTGGGAGGTACCAGGCTATGTTTTAACTAATCTTGGTTGCTAAAGCTTTTTGAATGCATTTTACAAAGATGCAACAAATATCTGCAATCTATTAAACACTCAATAGGTGATGGCTATGCAGTTATGGACTCCAATGCGGATGTTTGTAGCTATGACTTCAGAAGTAAAGAGGTAAGTTCTGCTCAGTAGCGCGCTTGTTTAATCTCTACTTCCTACCTTACATCATTTTATAAACCTTATGTCCTATTAAAGGGTAGCAGTTCAAATTCACCAGCTGCTGCATGGAGAAAGATGAAAAAAATCTGTCATTGCTAAGAGCTACATACTCAGAAACCCAACAGAGGGTTACATGAGGCAATAGCTTCATGCCCTATAATCTTTACAACATTAAGAGTCAATAAACCAGAAAACATTATTATTCTGTTCTCATTTCGTTTTATGTGCATAAAAATCAGTAAGGATATTCTCAATTATTATCTGAAGTGGATATATATCTGAAAAAAACTCAGAATCTACTGATTATAAATAAATAGTAAAAGGAATCAGTGAAAACATTTTGTCAACATTTAGAAACAACCAATCTTAACAATAAAATACTCCTAGGATGAATTGAACAGCAAAACCACAATATCCATGTAAAGAAATCTTTAAAATATTCCTATTGAATTATCAAATATTGAAAACATCATAAAGATATTATTTCTATTAAACTATGCATAGATGACAGCAGGATATTTTTTCATGAAACCAGATTCTAAATTATATTGAAAAATAAAAAAGCAAGAATTGTTCTAAAAATTTGGAAAAAAGTAATTGGTGTCTATGAATAATTTAAAATGTTAGTAGTAGTGCATGGACAGAAGACGAGTGAATGAAACAGAATGGAGATTTCAGAAATAGATGAAGATACATAACAGAATTTACAATTGATAAAGTTGACGTTTTAATCCAGTGCAGAAAAGATGTGTTATTTAACAAATGGTGATGGTACAACTGCTTAACCATCTGGAAAAAAAAAATGAATGAATTAAGAAATTATGGTACATTCACACACTGGAATACTATGCAGCACGCAGGAGCAATGACTTTGTAAATTATTACCTAACCTGGCAGGGACTGGGGAGTATTATGCTGAGAGTGAACTAACTCAGTCCCACAAGGATAAATATTGTCTAAAACCATTATTGTAGAATAAGGATCCAAGAGGGGTGAGAGAGGGTGGAAGCAGAGGGATGAGGGTGTGCAGGGGGAGGCGGAGCTTAATCATCGGGTTGGACCATTTGATGGGAGGAGAGATGAGGGAAATTGAAAGAATTTGTTCTTGAAAACAATGTATTCGAAGTTTATAAATAAACCAGGGGAGGGGAGGAAGCTTGGAAGAATGCTAGAAGTCCCAATCCACAACATAAACAGTCTTCTACGTATCCTGAAAAACCTACAATGAGGAGAAGATAGAATAAATGAATGGGATTTTCTAAGAATCAAATCCCTATGCACAACCAAAAACTCCTCCAACAGGGTAAAAAGGGAAACCACAGACTGGGAAAAAGCATTTGGTATCAGATAAGGGACTTATATTCAGAATTTATAAAATACTTGAGCACCACAACAAGATAAAGGTAAATAATCCAATCAAAAAATGGACACAGGATATGAACAGACACTTCACCAAAGAAGACATTCAGATGGCTAACAAGCACATGAAGAAATGTTCAAAATCCCCAGCTCTAAGAGAGAGGCAAATCAAAACAACTGTGAGATGTCATCTGACCCCAGAAAGAATAGCAAAATTTAACAGAACAGCAAGCAATAAATGCTGGTGAGGTTGTGGAGAAACTGGAACCCTTATTCACTGTTGGTGGGAGTGTACAATGG